GTGAATTGTTGTTTGGGGGGGGGGGCATCAAAATAAAACGTTAGCAGATATTAAACAGGCAGTCTACTAATACTCTGATAAGAGATAGTTGACATTGTCTGTCTTTTTGTCATGTCTGTCTGTGCACAATTACATAATGATAAGGTGCTGCACTCATTTTGCTGTACTGAACAAATTGCTGACTCACATGCTGAACTGAACAAATTACTTGCCCTCTTGTTCAGTTGGTCAGCAGATCCACTGATTTGCTCAAATTACCTACTTCATAAAGGGATGTTTTTGTTCAGTATGTCCAACTCAAGGAAATGTTCCTTGAGCCTACTACTGGCTTGTGCTAGTAGTCAGATTTTACAAGCAAAAAAAAGCTTTGGGCCCTGGGATATCTGTCCCAGACAACATGAAACCTTTTTAAAAGTTTACTTAATGTGTATTAACAAAATGTGACCCTAGACCACAAAACCAGTCTTAAGTGTCAAATTTTCCGAAATTGAGATTTATACATTATTCAGCTTTCAGATGAATAAGCTTTCAATTGATGTATGGTTTGTTAGGATAGGACAATATTTGGCCGAGATACAACTATTTGAAAATCTGGAATCTGAGGGTGCAAAAAAATCAAAATATTGAGAAAATCGTCTTTAAAGTTGTCCAAATGAATACCTTAGCAATGCATATTACCAATCAAAAATTACGTTTTTATATATTTACGGTAGGAAATTGACAAAATATCTTCATGGAACACGATCTTTCTAGGCCGATATAGCTAGGAACTATACTCTCATTCCGGCATAATAATCAATGATATTACGCAGTGGCTGAAAATAGTTCCCAGCTAGGTAACTTCCAATAAGCCTATTTTCAGGTGCTGCGTAATATCATTGAGCCTGCTGCACCCATGGTACGGCAGCAAAGTTCCTTGATTATTACACCGGAATCGCAGAAAATCGCAACTTTTCATTTTCCATCGGTCTTAGTACACGATGTAACTACAGAAGGGTCAAGTTTTAAATAGGAAAAATATAGAAAATCTTTGGTCATTTTTGAGCGAGATGCTAACGGTCTAATCAGATTCAATGATCTATGCTAAGCTGAGCTAAAACTGCTACCGCCAGACCCGGAGATCGGCTGAATGGATTCGAAAACGGTAAAACTCAACTGTTTAACTCTAGGGGAGTTGGAAAATGAACCTATTTTCAAAAATAGTGGAGTGTTCCTTTAAGACTGGTTTTGTGGTCCAGGGTCACAAATATTGAAATAATGATACTCTGTATTGCACAGATTTAATGTCTAAAATAGTAGCTAATTAAGTGTATATCACTGCACCAGCTACAATATCAAATGCATTTGTATTAGTGTACTTGTATTATATCATCATTATAAAAATATTGGCCCTCCTCAGCAGGAAATGACACTCCTGGTCCAGATGATTTATTAGTTGTAGTGAAATAGTGATTTTGTGTATTGTCAGTTGATAATATATTTAAATGATCTGCATTTTTTGATCACCACTTTATTGTGAAAATAGTACCAAAGTGAATAAAAAAAAACGTAAATATCTGGCAACCCATCAGTCGAATATAAAACAGTTTGATTGGGCTGTACACTAATGCCAACCAGGACAGTAAGAAACAGGACAGACAGAGATTTAATACCCACATGAACCATGCGTTACAACATCAGGAAAATTAGACCTTCCTTCTGAAGCCAACAAGCATCTGCACTGATTGCCGAAGATGACCACCGTGCAGTGAAAGATAAAAAAAAAAAAAAGTGGATAACAGAGCAACCTCTTGCCCTTGAGCCCACTGTCCTGCAGAGTTTAACTCTAACCCTAATCAAACACGCCTGAACAAGCTAATCAAGGTCTTCAGGATTACTAGAAAGTTACAGCACAGGTAGGTGAGTTTGATCAAGGCTGGAACAAAACTCTGCAGGAAAGTAGGCCTCAATATCCAGAGTTGAGAAACTCTGAGGCTTGTACCATGATGTACCAGGATCATCTACTTTCTCTGTCAACTCAGGCTTTGATCCTGAGTTTATGAAGCATATGGACATGAAGGTGTGACATCAGTAACAAACAGCCAATCACATGCCTTGAAACTCAGATTCACTTCTCGCGAGAGAGTCGGTGCGATTCACTACCAAAGATTAAAAGACTGAAAAATATGAAGAATTTAAACACATTTACACAGCAAGATGAATTGATGAATTGAAAGAGGACAACTTAAAGAAAACATCTTGCCATATCAGTGCAAGTAAAAGTTGTGAAGTTAGTTTATATAGTTGATCATATTTATAGATATAAAAACACTTACAAATCTAAGCTCATATGTAGTCATGTTTAAAGCTATTGATTCAAAAACGTATTTATATTGCATATATCAAGCCGAGCTACTTTCTTGGTACCTAAAACCCAGAGTTGGCACAAACTACAGTAAACTGAAACTTACCTGGCTAGCCATCTAGACCGGCTTCATGGTACAGGCCCCTGGTGATACTGTTTTCACATAGTGTAAATATATACAAATAGCATGTTATTTCACTAAGAGCAAATAGAGATATATATGCCATTCATACAAAGTATATATATAAAAGTAATATGCTGTTTGTATTAAGGGTAAATTATCTGAGCAGTGGAAACAGCCTTTGCCAAGTGTGTAAATAGATACTGCCTTATAGGTTTAGATCACAATACCATTTGAACACTACTATTGGTAACACTCAGTGAAACTTTTTATTGTGGAATACATTAATAAATTACTGATTACTCACTGCAAATGGTGCTGAAATGGTAGTAGTGATTGAAAACGCTTGCAGCATCCACGCAGATAGATGTCAGTTTACTGTATGTCCAAAACCACTATATGAGGCAGTGCAACAAACACACACAAAAATACAAATACATGCACACTTTCATATCTGACATAGTGTTACATTGGGGTTCAGCTTTTTCATGTTTTCATTGTTATGTTTCTGTCTTCCTTGTTTCATCATTTGACCTAGTTTCTCTTTCTGTTTAACGGCTTATTCTGAACACCTGTCGTTTACCCTTATGAAAAAGAAGTTTATTCAAGTGTGCTATTAGTATACTATTAAACAAAAAAATAGGAAAGTATACTTTTAGTCTACTTTTTATGTACAACGAATCAGGATGGCGCCGCACATGGCCGCCTCGGTTTGTTGCTCCTTGGTACTTTTA